TCAAAATATGCTTTCCCCAACCCAGATACGATCCCCCCCCCTCCTGGCAACCAAATACGACCCCCCCCCACTACTGGGGATTTTGCCCTGAGGTAGAGTCAGATGCAGAGACCTGTTCTTAGAGAAGTTACCTATCGAATTGTGATACGGCGAGGGACCATCAGGAAATCGGCAGTCACAATAAGGGGAACGCAGGACATTTACTGTGCGGCATTACATATTCATGATGGAGCAGATATTTGCCCGTTTTTGCCCGTTACAAATATTTATGGAATGAATATCCACAACCGATTTCTGAAGAACCTTCCGGGAAGAGTTTCGCAAAGTATCTTTTCTTAGCTGGAAATTATCCTCTGGTTCCATTCCCATCGTTGTATAAATTTAACGAGATTTCTTCGTGGAATATTAATCGTCAACATTTAGGCTGTGCTCAAAGAACATCATTATCACTGAGAAGTACTCCGAGAGAGTATCCACGTTCCTCCACGTTTTGAATATTCATATTAATGACCAAGAGGCCCAAAATGCTCTCATTAACGGGTAAGTCTTTAAAGTATCTGTTTGTCTCTCTTTTGTAAAACATCGAAGATTTTCTGAACGGAGCTATTTCCGAGAACCAGCGATAAGCAATATTTTACTGAAGCCTGAGCTTAATGCATGCCATTTGTAGGTTTTCTTATACTTTCTCTCATTTTAGGTACTCTTCCACATGTGCAGAAGAATTCCCCTTTATCGATGTCAAAGCTTCAGTTGATGGTACTTCCAATTCTGGTAGGTAGTATTCTTAAAGACATTTCCGTTCGCTTGACCGAGGTCTATGGACCCTCACTCACTGAGCCACTAGCCCATTTTCTTCGAATCTCGCTAAGACTAACCTGTGTGACGCACATGGTGGTGCGCCCATGAAACTGTCGTGTGTCTAGTGAACATTTAAAAATTCCAGGAAAGCCTGTCCTCCAATGCGTCATCTGTGGCTTCAAAACCGACACATCGAGACGGATTGCAATGCATGCCCGTCATCATGAAGATTTGATGAGAGATCTTGGGTGAGTCTTCATTTATGAAGATTTGGTTGGCGTGAATTCTGTCCATCAGGGAACTTTCTTTTCAGTTAGATCCGATTATCCTTTGACTGAAAAGATGTTTTAGCAATTATCCGGAGCCTTGTCATTGTGGTGAGAAGATTCGCGTCTGTGCTGAAGTAAAGGAGTCCTATCAGCGATTATGTCACATCCTCGAGAAGCACGTTGACGATGAGGAGCGCCTTCGAGAAGCTATAACTGCATAGTACGGCTTTCATTAACCTTGCCTCGCGACAGTTTGCTAAAAAACTGGTGATGAGTAGGGCTTTCTAGAAGTGCTTGCACTCATTTATGATGTTTCGTTGCAGCGAGTCCGATCACTCTCCTGATTTGATGATTTTGGATAGGCTGCGGAGTGTTGAGCAAACTCGTTATAAGAGTCTCACCTACGCTTGTTCTGGATGCGATTTCTCATCTCCCAATAGCAATGCGCTCATACATCATTCGAAGATACATGCGCCGTAAGTGCTGGACATCGGTATTTTATTACTATTCCCGTTACATTATTTGAAACGTAATAGGTGCGTCTCTTCACGATGACAAGGAGGGGTATATGTGAATCATACATTCAGCTGCTTTCGCTGCATACACTGGTGCATACCGGAAGGGGGAGGACGAGGAGAAAGCTGAGTTCAGCACGGCGCGAACCCGTTCTGCATCAATTGCTGTCGCTTGCTTGCCTGCCTCAACAGGACTGATGGACTATATGAAGACCAGAGTCTGCAGTGAAAACGGCTGTATATTATTCCTTGTGCAAGACAATGACCATCCTAACAGCGGTAGGATTACCACAATCAAGAATAGTTTGTCTGCCTAGAAGTTTCTTCCCCTTCTCCTCTAGGGTTGGGGACGTCTAGACTCCTTGTCGACGCGGTGGGGGGGGGGGGGAGCGTGCCTCGATACACACTGTGACTGATACTACCAATTCCAGTAGGACTGATCTCTCTGTGTTTCTTGTGTTTCATTTAGTGTATATCTTTTATCGTTCAAATTCATGATTATATGCTATTTGCTGTGAGTGAAGGTTTTGTTTTACCTGTTTAAATCCTTGAGTGATCGCTATTTCCAGAGGCTCCAATGAGAATAGTCCTGTCAAGAAGGAACTGCCTCGTAAAACGTGAGTTACATTTTACATTCGCTTTAAGAGACAAAATTAGTATCGTCAGCCTACAAAATGGATTTCAGTGAGTCACCCACTGTTTGTACGATATGCAATCGACTGTTGCTACGATCCTCACGGTATTCGATCCGAGTGACGATTTTGGCTCATTTTGTGAAGTTTCACCGTAATTCACCAAAAGACGTCGAGAAGTATCTTGCAAGGTAAAGCGTAATAGTTATTTACTGGTAATAAAAAATGTATCTATATAGTCGTCTCTGCGAGTTTTATTCCATGTCGGACTGGGAGCATTTTGCTAAGCCTTCCCTTCCTCTTTTGGTTTGCTGAGAAATGGTAGCCTGATGAGGAACTGTTCCTTAAAAGAATGAACGGAGCCCTCTGCTGTTTCGAGCATTGCAAGAAGACATAGATGGAGAAATAGGCTAAATATCCTCGATGTGACTGCGCACTTCATTTCAATGTGAAGGCAGCGTTTTTTGGATGGGGTGTACTTATTTCGTACAATCGGAAGAATGTCTTTGTCCAACCCAGAATGGCTGTTGTCTCAGTTGAAGTATCCCACGAAAAACCCGCCTACGCTAAGGTAAAATGAAGTACGCAGCCACTTCTACCGCGTGTCGGGGAAGTGGAATTCACATGCATCTGGATGCCCCTCTACGAAGCTGAGGCGTATTCAGGGATTATATTTGCACCTTCTTCCAAGTCGCGCATTTTCACGAAGCGAGGCTTCTCCGAAAATAGCGATAGGCGAAATCGCTCAGGACCCATCTAATCCTTCATCACTACTCTGAAACACTGACTTCTCCACCCTAACCAAGTATGAGCGCGGTCTGATATTTTCGGAGAAGCCCCGCTACGTGAAAATGCACCACTTGGAAGAAGGTGCAAATATAATCTTTGAATACGGCTCAGCTTCGTAGAGGGGCATCCAGACGCATGTGAATTCCACTTCCCCGACACGCGAAGCGGCTGCGTATTTCATTTTACGTTAGCGTAGGCGGGTTTTTCGTGGGATACTTCAACTGACACAACAGCCAT